AAGGTCCGCACTTTGGCACCTCCACTTACTTAGAATCTCCGGTCGATTTAGACTCTATTACCCCGACCAAAAGGGATTCACGCCTCCGACCATGACTCGCCCCTGCGGTGCCGGTGAGGAGACCGAGGTAGACGTGAGAGCGACGGTTAAACCGGCATCGGCTAATCGCCAAGAAAACCGCGCCAAGACCCATGTGTTGCCTGCTAAGGCTTGGCCTCGGGGGCTCTCGAGCCTCGACTAGCCGGTCTTTTCAGCACATATTGGTAAGGGACCAGTTTTAGGCAACGTAGAAGACAGGTAAACTGGTCCTCGAGAAGAAGCCAAATTATCTGCAGCAAAACTCCATTCATCATAATTTTCCCTCCCTTTTAATTTGGGAAGACTTTGTATATAGTTGGTAGTCATTAGGCTACACACAAAGGTTTTATTTTTTATTAAAATGAAATAATAATTACTTAATAAATCTGTAGAATATAATCTGGAATAATATTATAGTCTTTTTATTCCAGTAGTGCATATGAAGTCGTTGGAAAAAACCGAAGAAAAGTACTACCAACAAATATCCATTTAGTACAAATTCCTTCATCAAATTAAAAGGCGTGCTTATATTATGCTGCTCATCCCGCAGGACCGAGTTGAATGTATGTCAGTTAGTAGGATATGAACTCGCGACCTCTTTATCACAACACAACGCTATGGCTGTTTTAATTTTCATTGTTCTTCATCAATGCTATAATTGGATGCTATGAACTATGACGTTATGAATGAACCGGTTTTTAATTCAGAAACCAATTTATATTCTGTTACATAACAGTTATTAAAAACAGTAACAAAAAAATGTTATGTTTTAAAATTTTATCCTCATCAATTTACGGGTTTTGTTATCCTGACCTTTTGACCTAGCGAAAAAATTAAAGCAGAACCGTAACCGTATCAATATTTTCTTCTAAAACCAATCATCTATTACCAAACAAATGACAGAAGCAATCAGACAGTGACTCACATTCATATCAAGCCATTGTTCGGAACTATGTTATAAATATTTCTTGAAGTGTTTCGTATTACATGACAACATTGCTTTACATTGTGTGTGCAGTATTGTGAATTGTCTCCAGACGTTAAGGTACCTGCGCAATGTACATTGTACCTACAATGCTTACGCTAGAAAGTGTCACTTCCATTGTTCGGTGGGAAAGAGATGAGACGGTGTTTTACTACCCACTGAGCTAGATTGTATATTGTTGCAGATGTTCAAGCATACAAAATGTGCAGTCTACTCTGTTGATAAAATGGCTGCGATTGAATTCGAAAAGGTAAAGATTGATAGTCTATTTTTGAGAGTGGAAAATCATCGAATGGCTTCTCTGAGGAGTGTCAGACCCTTAGGCTAAGAACTCACGGAGCGATTTTCGCCCGCGTCCGCTGCGGTTGCGGGCCCGCAGCTTCTGTAGAATTCAAATTTTTATATAAAAAATTAAAGCACATTTCACGACGCGTTTTACGCCCGCGGTGAACGCGGTTGTATGCGGCTCCCGCTGTACCGGCGGGCAACTAGTAGAATCGCGCGGGCCGCGGTTACCCGCAGCCTCGGCGGGTGGCACCCGCGCGCTTTGCGATCGGTTGGCGAGCGACCGCGGGGGCCGGCGGGTCTTCTGTGAAGTAAATATAACCCAACGGCTCGTTTCTGGTGTGTTTCCATGGCGGTCTGGACCTCAACTGATCGTTAAACCGCCCGTCTTCCAATCTTGCGATCATCGCCCGCCACGTTTGCGGGCGAGGATCGCAACCGCGGCGGCTGTGTAACCGCACAAATAACCGGTCTCGTGAGTTTGGAAATAAAACCGCAGTTCCACTACCGCGGCGGGCACGGTTCAAAATCGCTCCGTGAGTTCTTAGCCTTACTGACTAAAAACCTCATTTTAATGCCTTCTCCACGGACCGCGGTACGTTATTACGATTGAAGTGATTTTTTGTGAGGGAAAAATCAATAAGCGACTTTATTCGCCCAGGTTCAACCGAGAGGAAGTGTCAGACTCTTACTGACTAAAAACCACGGGGGGTTTCAGTCCTTCTCCTGCTTTAGGCCGAGACCGCGGTACCTAATTGCGCTAGCCCCGCAACCCTGGCTGAACATTGGCTCTGTAGGGCCCCGTTTGTGGTGGTCTTTGAGGCACGCGCGGAAAGCTCGGGTTCGGGTCAGGTCTGGCGTCAAGCTACTCTTACTCGCCATCTTGCTTGTCGCGCTTCTTACGGTAGCCTCAGATGGACAATAGAACCCCGACGCTTGGAGTGTCGCCTACTGCAGTGGCTGGGGCGTGAGGAAGATAGATCCCTCACCCGCTCCGCCTCCTCCCTTGCGACTTCTTTGCAGAAAGAGGAGGCAGCTTCCCAGTTCCTCTCATTTTACACCATGCACTTAATTAAGGCCGGACGTAAGAGGTCGCCACTGCCGATCACTTCCCTGAGGACACGACACAGGCGGTGCGAAGCCCAAGCAGGGCACATCTAACATCGTATGCTCCTGGTGGTCCTCACAACATCCGAGCATTTCCTCCTGCCGGCAGCTGTGCCCGGTATGCAACTGCGTCAGGCGGAAGGTGAGGCCGACGTGGCGTCTCTCAAGCCTTCTCAAAGAGGGGTCTTACCGTTGCTATAATAGAGAGCCCGGTCTCATAACATACGTACTCATAAAAGTACATATGTTTTACAGCTAAGACTTATTTTTTTTACCTTCAAAAATATCTGCGACTAAAGCTTTCTTAAACAAACTGACACACATCGACAAATAATTTTCCAAGCGATGAAGTTGAAATCTAAAAAAGCCAATTGAGATCCTTTTATTATCAAGTTAAAAACGGTGAATCGACGGACATCGTTATGAATGCGAACTAGCTAACTATTATTACTAGAAAATGAAAAAGAAAATCAAAGTTATAACGATTTAAAGACAGTTTTAGACATGATTTCCATTTAAACGGTCGTCGAACGTTCTGGAATCATTATGCAATTGAATGCACGTTAACTCGATGAAAATTTCACATTTTATGCCCTCCCGCTTTATTCGATGGATGTTAAATATTTGAATAGGACCATCGTTGATTGCTTTTCTGTTGGAAAAATTGTTGAACTCTCCTTCGCCGTTCGGTTTTCATATTGGTGGTTGTTTAGGGTTTTGTACTGTGTTTTCTGAGTAACGAAAATGAGAATATATTTACAGTAGTTCTTCACATATACATCACTGTAATATAATATATTATTCATTTCAAAGTACTTTACACAATTGAGTTAAAATTTGTCAAACGTAAATCAATTATTTCAACCCTTCCAATATGTTCATTTCAGATCATCAGTCTGTAAGTGCCTAATGCAAAGGCGTCTTCTCACACGGAGAAGGTTTGATGGATTACCACGCTTGTTCAAGGCGGATTGGAGATTTTAGCTTTTTAGCTATAAGACGCTATTTGACAAATATATTAAATGTGACGTCACGAATTAGTTCCTAATACGAAATTTATATAAAAGTATAATTTCACTTAAAGTATCTAATTAAATAAATGGTTGTCAAATTTTGGGTTGCAAGTTCGTCTGCTGATATAATCGGTTATAGATCAACCAATATTATTTTTTTATCTGAATCTTTGTCTTACAGGATTTATTCGAATTCTTAACGTTAGATTTTTTTGTTCACACAAAGAGTAAGCAAATCTTCGAAAACCTCAGAACTATGACTGAAATTCCAAAACAGATTATCTATATTAATCTAATAAGGTAGATTAGCGAAACATCGCGAGATTACTAATTAGATTATCAGAATCCAATCATGATCTCATTCAATTAAGTCAGTTTAACTAACGAATATTGAGACTTTTCATAATCAATTTTAACAAGTCTATATAGCTGAAACATTCATATTTTATATACCTGTGAAAGTCTCCCGAAGTTGCAGCAACTTTTGTTAGCCAGAAACTGCCATGAGAACATCGAAACAAAGATACCTGGCACGACCCAGGCACATCAACGACTTTCTCGTAACCCGCCATGAAATAAATGAGAAGTCAGAATAAAATCAAAGAAAATCGATGCATAATTATGCATACTTGTATAAATTCGGGAGGAAATTAAATTAAATTTAAAACCCTATAATATATGTATGTTTGTTTTTACAGATAAAAATATACGTATCTCTATGACGAAATCCATTCAGATCTCTTCACAGTTTTTGTGTGAAAGATTTACGATTATAACCAGTTTCCTGATGCCTCAAAAACTTTCGTATTAGCACGTAGGATACGATTCATTATTATCTTCAAACAAATAAGGCCAGATTTTACTTATGCAATCCCAAAATCAGATTGAACATCTAGTTATCAGCTATTTTTTTCGGTTTATAAACTGAAACGCCATTCAATAAATATAAGAATCGCTCGTAACTTACATAAAAGATCGCGTGACATCTAAAATATCAAGAACACATTTATTAAGGCCATGACGTATATATAGCTTTAGTTAATGCAGTTTTTTTAAACGAAAACATTATATATTCGAAAATGTTATAGTAAAATCATGTGTGTGCATTTTTGTGGACTTTTACAAGAAGAGACTACGTATTAATAATTGTAATTACGATTTTAGATTTTTAATATCCATTGTCAATTATATCTATTTAACCACTTACCAAGTAACCCTATCTTTGCTTTTACTAAAGTTTACTTTAAAACATTTAAATTTTACTTATTTCAAAAATATAAAAATCAACTAAAAATATTCTCTATACATGAGGAAACTCAAATGCAAAAATCATCACTTAAAATTTTCTCACCAAACAAACAAAAAAAAACATAATACGAAACGACTAAAAAAAGATCGAAATGAAAAATATTGCAGCAATAAATCACACAACACCATAGAATATTTGTTTCATGATACAACATACGGGTCTCCCTTACTTCCTAACGATTATCTTAATCATCGAATAAAAAAAACTGAGCGTAGGAGCGTACCTCTCGAGCGTGCGAAGTCCCTCAGTGCTCGAAGCAGACACACCCGTCATCAGGCGAGCCCCTGTTTGACAAACATCAATCAACTATTACTACTATGTCGCGACCAATGTGTACAAACCGACGATTTCATACATCCTACTAAAATGTGGATATCACGATTTTTAAACAACCATTGTGATGTCACTTAGTGCTCTAATCATAACAGCTGATGTTTTTATGACATGGATTTTATATTTCTCATACCTTGTTAAGTTAACCCATTCTACACTTTCACTACTTTAAAACCACCATTTTAATAATATTATTTTCTACAGGTTTTATAATTTTATTATTTTTCTACAGGTTATTTATTTATCTTTTTGTGACACACAAATATGGAAATAAAAATCAGAACACTTTAAAAATATTGGCAGTCGATCCGCTATACAATATTCTGTTATTACCACAGTACTCCCAAAACATATATTTAGTTCGTTCGAAAATACAATTTGTTAGGTAACAAACATTTTGTATGAGTTCACGTTGCCAGTTTTGAGACCGAAATAGAGCACACACACACATTTCTCAAAATTTAAATGCTCGTTAAAATTATATTAAATCCACCGTTTGTTTGATAAGTTGAAACGTTTTTTGCATTGTTTTGTTACGGTTATAGCATTTTTACATGGATAAGAATATTAAATGGTAATTATTAAAAAAATAAGGTTTACAAATTATCCTCCTTGTTTACACCAAGGCGAATAGATGCAATAGCATTTACTTTCAGAGTATTTCTGCAATCGTACCTACGTAGATTGCCTCAACTACATCATGTATAGACACATTTGTAGTAGTTGCGGAACAATGTGCAAATAAATCAAATCGAACACTACCTACAAAACATATAACACCTAGGCATTGCCCAAATAAAACTTCAAATCTTGATGTAGAAGCAAAAAAGGAGAAAATCCATGTTTAGTAAGCCAATCGTTGACCCGAAATACAGACCCACCTTTATCAGTGCTTTCTCAGCAAAGGGCAAAAACCCTTGTTTACTGCCCCTCGAACAAAGAGGTAAATAAAGGGATAAGTTATTCCACAAACATAAAAGCAGACACAGGCCAGGAATTGCCTAAACAGCCCGATTTCGCGGCAACACCTTCCATCTTTGTCCCCCTTTATACTCTAGAGAAAGATGCAAATCGTCCCGCGTCAACATTGGCTGCCGGTACTTATCATCTATTTAGCGAATCGAATGCCCTTGCACTTGTTTTATTTATGTACGGTTACGAGAATCAACCTTTTATTTGTTTTGTTTCAAACGAATTGAACTTGATTCATGATACTTTTGTTTTTGTTTACATTTCCTCACAAGTTTGCGTTGTACCGGTATCGAGTTCAGAGTTTTTTAATCAGGTTTCGTTTTAGACTTTGCTTTTTTTCAGTCTAGCGGTGTATTGAAATTCAGTTTTTTTTACTGTGGTGTCTATAAACAAATTGAATTTAGATTTTGCCTAACCTAGTAGGTTGATAAGAGCGTATGCGTACTAAATGTTATAGGAAAATTTGCAACACTCACTGCAGTAACTATCTAATAGGTTTGTTTAGGGCTAATCTTCGTCAACATAATATACACCAGTAAATTAAAATCAGATCTTTACCCAAATGCAATCACGTTACAATAGTTGCATAGGTACATAAAGCCTTAAAAAAACTACGGAGAGTTAAGACAGGTTCTACTTAAAACTCAACCAACATTCATCAAAGCTGAATTCAAATCGGATAAGATGCAACCTCACCAAATGGAACTCGCTTAACCGACGCTGTCCAACTAATTCCAGTATCATCTAGTTTAGACCGACCGTTACCAGTTTAAAAGCCTATTGTGACTTACTCAAATGGACTTTGTTTCACTTCGTTTAGGCACATCACTCAGTTTAATGTGTGGAGTTAGGAACTAAAATTAATACGCCTATTTTTGAGTTGTATTTTAATAAGGATTGAAATAAAAGCTTTTAAAATTTATAAATCATTTTTCCCCTTTTGCATCGCTGTCCGTTATAATTAGATAGTACTAAATTTAAAATTGCTATGTTACGTTTGGCGTTGAATTTCGCTGATTAGTGCGTGTGGTAGTCAGTTTATTTTTATTTAAGCAAATCGGAGGAATAGGATGAATAACGTGTGCATGCATGTTTTGGAACAGTTCACATATTCTTAGCAACCTCGAATAATTTCGAGTTACTCGATACGGTTGAACAGTTGCATATTGCACCGTTCTTATAGGTAACGAGTAGTACAATTTAATTTATTAAACCTTTAAACCCTTATTCCAAAACGCGGACTAAATTTAGTACTAGGATTAGTACTAGGTTTAAACCATGACTAAATAAATCGTTATTATAAAACTAGGTTTAACACTAGTACCTGAACTATCTATGGTAGGTACTAAAGTTAGTCCGCCGATGCCCCTAGTTTAAGTATGGACTAACTTCGGTACTAATTTATATTTGAGGTTATCTTGATTGTGTCAATTGCGGTGTCATTATTTTCTTATAAAAATATTTAAAATGGATATTGATATGATTGACTTGATGGATTTGGAAGATTTGGATATGTTGGAGACGTCTCGGCGATCTAACAGACGCCGTTATCGTAGGAATCCATTTGAATCGAGTGAAGAAGATTTTAGATGTAAGTATAGGTTTACAAAACGTTTTGGAGCAAAAATAGTGGATATTTTACGTGAAGATTTATGTCACGACCCCCGAGGATGCCCTTTGAGTCCTGAATTGCAAGTGGTTTGCGCATTACGCAACTGGGCTCGGCATGAAGTAAGTAGTCAGCTTGGTAATTGCTTACAAAACATTAGATAAAATCCATATAATATCTTAATCATTATCTTCCTGCCCATGCATTCCTATTTTACTTGGGGTCGGCGCACGCGACATGTATTTTTGTTTATTTTTATCTTTTCTGCCGTTACCTATCACTGATTCCCTTTTCTTTCATATGACTTTTTACACAGTCTATTCATCTTTACTTTGACCTCCGAGATAAAAATAAACTCTTAATATTTTTAATTTGTTCACAGATTCAAGACGATACAGCTGATTTACATGGTGTGTCTCAACCAGTTGTCAGCAAATCTTGCAAAATGGTAGCGCACAGTTTGGCAATGATGTCTAGACGATTCATCAAAATGCCTAGCAGTCTCGATGCACAACAGCAAACTATGAGAAAATTTTGTAGTATTGCTAATTTTCCTACAGTAATTGGAGCAATAGACTGTACTCATATAAGAGTGAAGAAAATCAATGCTGATGGGGGTCAGTTGTACATTAATCGAAAAGGCTTTTCTTCAATCAATGTACAGGTAATTTTATCTGTCTCATTTAATTGTCAATAGTTAGATCCCAAACTGCTTCACTAAATATTACAATATCATATTAAAATAACAGAGGAATGTGAAGTTATAATCAGCTTTCACTTTTCAGGTGGTTTGTGATGCTGACCTGAAAATCATTGACATTGTAACAAGATGGCGTGGCAGTGTACATGACTCCAGGATATTCAGAGAATGTCGCTTAAAACAGAGGTTTGAGGCCGGCGCATTCTCTGGAATATTATTGGGCGACAGTGGCTATCCTTGCACTCCATATTTATTTACACCATTGCTCAATCCCACAACACCACAAGAAGAGAGGTACAACCGCAGCCATATCCGTACCCGAAACACAGTGGAAAGGTGTTTTGGTTTGCTGAAGCAACGATTTCGTTGCCTTTTGCGAGGCATGTTTGGGGATATTGAAACAGCAAAAAAAACAATTGTTGCATGTGCTGTCCTCCACAATATTGCCATTGATATGAGAGAAGACCTATTTCCTGGCGAGGAAGATAATATAGAGCCATCAATTCAATTTGCACCTAGTGAAACAATTCAACAATATTTTCCATCTTCTGTTAGGGGAAATATTAGGAGAAGGCAGTTTATTCAAACTCATTTCCAATAAATATTATTTATTGTAATCTTGTTTTATTTTCTAACAAACTTATCTCTAGCTTTAGTTTTTGAATTTTTAATTTGGCATGTATGCATAAATTGTATGCATGTTCTTCTTCCATCATTTCTAATTGTCTTTTTTTAAAAGCAGCGTTGCTTTCGACAATTGTTTGCCGCATTTCGTCAGTTCTGTAAAATTAAATAGAATAAATAAAGTCATTTTAATTTGACAGGTAATAAAAATATGTACAAAAAAAGGAAAATGTAGTATCCAAGAAAATGTTTCCCCATTTTTTACCAAGGTTTTTGTTTCCATGCTGAATTTTATCAGTGCTGCGTAGTAAATAGTAGGTACATAATATGTACATACCTATTTTGCAAGCTCTTTTTCTTTTTAATTGTTGCTTGTTCTCCAACGCACGCCTCACTGTTGGTTGTATCTGTAGAAAGAATAGTTTAAGAAAATAAAATATGAATCAAAAATATGTTTTTTACACAATATGATGGTCTTGAATATGATGCGCTTGACGAACTGACGCACTTGACGCACTGACGGAAAACGACAATAATGTAGCATAGTTGATAATTATTGTGTTGTAATTATACTACACTAGTTTTAAGAGCAAAATAACGTTAAGATTAATATTATTATTATCATCCCACAGTTGTATATCAAATTATGACATATAAACATATAGCATAATTTTATTGTATTGTTAATTTTGCGGAGATGAAGTGATTCTTTTAATTTTCTTGAACACAATAATTGTTTACCTTGCAAAGAGACAAAATCCTTTTCTGGTCTATCTTCGCATGTTTCAATATGAAACGATACCGTTTCAAAACTAGGGCCGGGTTTTGAGTCTATCCCAGCCGCATTTATTGTAGGCACGGGAACTGGATCCTAAAAATATATATTTACTTAATATGTTTTCACGCTCACTACTGTTTTTGAAATTTGAGTGCTTTAACGTTACTTTGTAGAAGAAATTTGAGCATGTGATAAGCTAGTATAGTGATTGAATATATGACATTAACATTTTAGTTTACTGTGTTTAATTAATCAATAAATTAATTAAATGTTTTCTATTCAATATAATACATTTAATTTACCAATGCATCACTATCATAGTCATTGGTTTCAATGA